ACACACACACACACACACACACACACTGCTGCAGGCGGCTGGTTCTTTATAGCTGAGGTTTAACTGCAGCTAACAAACAAACTGACCCGCTGTTCTCATCCTGAGTTTTTCTAATTAGCACAACTTTAATTAACCTTACAACCAATTTAAACCTAAATGAATTTAACTCAAGTCTGCCCAGTGTGTTCGATTTAAAGGGAAAACTATTTTCTTTAACGTGTTTAAGTTGTAGCAGCCATTTGCAACCTTGTAACACAAGTACAAATAAGGCTGTTGCTGAAAGAATTAACTTCCCAGGATGCACTGGGAGAAACGATCCTGTGAACTGCCACTGTCCTGATGATTTATTTATTATTGACAAGTGTGAATTAAATGCGCGTGTCATAGGGCCTCGGGGGCCCCAACGTCAGAATGATTGTTGAAGCATCAGAATTATAACCAAAGGTCAGACTGTGCAGACACGTACATAACAAAAGTTTATGTTCAAACCTCCATCAACATCTGAAAACCGCTTTCATGAACTCTGGAATATGTTACGAATATTAGGTCTGAACATTTCCAGACTTTTCCTTCCACACACACAACAGAACATTCAGACGAGGGGCGGAGTCTAGAGCGTTCGGGAGATAGTACATGATATTTAGATTCCGCTGCAGTGATCACATGTTTGAGTTCACTGCACATTGTGTCATCCGAAAGCTCTTTTCAAGTTTTCATCGTCTTTACGTGTGCGGCTCCTCCTCTTCATCTTTGTGCTTCTGCACATGTCTGAAAGTAGCTTCAGACACATCATCACACATTTCACGTCTTCAACTTCAAATGTCTACGATAACGAAGCTTTCCCCTCGTTCTGGGATCATGGTGTCATTGCAGTGATTCCATTACATCCTAGAATTAAAGACGGTTCTCAAAATGCTGCTGCTGCAACATGAGGGGGCCCCTCTCAGCTTTTGTCCACAGGCCACAGCCCTCTTTGCCCACCATGTTGCAGCGCCCCTGATTAAAGGTCGTTATTCAATTGTCAATTATTCACAATAACGAAACAACAACGTGTTAAATCATCTCCATGTACTTTCTTTATTCTGCAGCCTGTTTGTGGCTTTAAGCTCCAAACACTTTCATCCCTCCTGCAGACTCAGTCATTTCCTGAAACAGCTGGGCATCACAGTTTTTAACAAACACGTCTTCAACACGGATAATTACTGCATTTGTTAGAGACTGTGTTTAGCTGCGGATTAATACGCATCTACAGCTCTAGTGGGTATTTATGGAAGCAGGATGGTGGATGTGGAGTCTGAATTAACTCGTGTGTGTTAATGGTGATGAAGGGAACGTGTCACCCAGTGAAACAGAGCAGCTCATTGCAGTCGTTTTATTAGAGGCAAAAAAAATTATTCCAATGATAATGTCTCTGTTAGTTTGCATCTTTTAATGGGATTGTTTTACAAACAGAAAAATGTGGAATGATCAAACACAAGTTGAAGCAGCACTCTGAAACTTTTCAGAATCAGGTCCAGCAAGTTGAAGAGTGAAGCTTTTCGGGAGTTGTCATGTCGTCCATCTTTGTGTATGGCGAGGACACAGAGGCCAACAGAATCAATCACCACGCGTGGCTGCAGAGGGCGCTGTTGCTCAGTCAAAGTTACACAGTGTTGCTTTAATTTTAACAATTGACCCGTGTTCAGTTGATGTTGTTCACAACAGAACTAAATTAAATTAATGCAAACTAGTTGACTGACTGTAACTCTGGAGTTTTTCAGGGCCGATACCGTTCAGGGGCCCTGAGGCACTTGGCTCATTTGCCTGGTTAGTAATTCATCCCACATCATCTGAATTAATGAAAACCAAGGGAGAAGAAAATCTCTTCTCTTCATGCACGACAATGTTTAGTAACTGAATAATTTCAGAATAGTTTAATGAGGCCGCCGCCGAATCTTCCTCAGGAGCAGTGTTCCCTCCTATGAATGTAAAATCCATAGAGACAAATCCCACCCCAGAGGCTGAAGGAGTTCCTCGAGCCGTCTCTGCTCACACTGTGGGCCTTTCGCATGGAGATCCTAAAAATAAACTCATCTGAGAGCCTCGGTTTTCAGGCCTGACACTTTTGTTTTGCTGTTGTTGTGTGTTGGAGACGTTCCTGTTTCTAGGCGGATGCATTTCTTTGCTTTTCCATCTGTGACATTGCAGAGGACATGATCTATAATCCATCTCTTTGGATTCTCACACAGGTCTGATCCGCTGAGCCCCGTCTTCACCGCAAATCTTTCACCAACCGACAAAGAGCTGGAGCCGAGACGATCAAGCATGGATGTGCCCAGGATGGCTGAGGGCCTGTTCAGCAGCACGCTGTCCTCGTCAGGCGGCGGCCATCACGCGCCCTCCTACCTGACGCTGGAGCAGAAGGCCGCCTTCGTCTTCGTGCTGCTGCTCTTCATCTTCCTGGCGCTGCTCATCGTGCGCTGCTTCCGCATCCTGCTGGACCCGTACCGCAGCATGCCCTCATCCAACTGGACAGACCACACCGAGAAGGACACGTTCGATTACCGCATCGTCTGAGGAGCCCACACATTTAGAAGATTGAGTAAAATGGACTGATTCGATTCTAGAAGAGCACTTTGGCCCTTAGAACAAATGACAGCGGATTCACCAGGCGTTCACAAAATCCTCTGAGGGTCGGACTGAGACCAGAGTTCAACAGCTTCTCCCTGCCAAATCTAATCAACTATAACAAGACAACCAGAACTGTGCAGTGAAGATTATTGATCAAACTTCCACGAGCCTCTTCAGGTTCCCCGTCATCTGCCATCAGTTCCCTTGTGGACTACCTCGCTCCCCCTGCATCACATCTCATGTCTCACACAGGGTCGAGTATCTTTTCGAAATCCAAGCTGGTTGGATGAAAAACAGTGTTTACATCGTATCGCGTTTACGTCCTTAGATTTTTATTGATAATGTAGACAATCAGTGTTTAAAACAGTAACAGGAAAACAGATCCAGTGTTATCTTTAATTTTGTTGACAAACCCCAGAGATCCAGACGAGTTTATACGACCGATGAGATTCAGGCGACGAGTTTCATGCCTTACGTCTGTGTAAGATATTCAGCGGTGATTGTTGCCTAAACCCACGAGCGAGACTCTGTGTCAAAGGTTCATAAAAGCAGGTTAAATAATCACAAAGAAGGAAACTGTAGTGGAAGAGTTCTCCCTTTAATGTTTCTGAGCGGTTTCAAGAGATAAGATGTCAGCAGCGAGAAACTATAACTGTTCTGTGTGTGCGATTAAAAAAACAACGGGTCCTTCCTCTCACGTGGAGGGACGTCCAGTGTCCGCGTCTTTAGATGTCAGCAACCAAAAGAGGTGTTGAAGAAAAACAACGTTTACTGTGCTGTACCGTGTGCCTAATTTGAGAAAGAAAAAAAAGTTTAGATTGATGTTTTAGGAAAAAAGAAAGAAAATGGGTTCACATTTCTGTCTTTGATTGTAGTTTTTATTTTTTATTTTCCTGTGTCGCGCCCATTTAAAAAAAACTGTTAACAGCATTTTACTGCCTGCAGTTGGTATATTGACAGTTGGTATGCCAGATCTGCAGAGAGTTGATGGTGAAGACGACGAAACGTTTTCACATCAAACCCTTTACGAACTGATGTTGTGGCTCTTTCGTTGGGCAACTTTTCAACTGTGCGCCTTATAGTGTAGATTGTTTACAGTATCATACGTAGCAGAGACACTGGAAATCACCGGTTTCACTGAAGCGTCAGTGTCTTTGCACTTCACAGAGATGTCATACAACTCACTAAAAAGAAAAAAGAAAATCTTCCCCTGAGCTCTTTCCTGCCCGGACAGGAAGTGAACTGTGACCCTTTCCACGACCCGTGATGTTCTTGTGATCTGCTGTGGCCTTCTCCTCCCTATTGCAAACGTTGCAATGTTGTGCTGAGGTGTTTTCTTTTCCTGGTTTTCCGCATGTATTTCTCGCAGAGTGTCCTCTCCGTGCATGATAGATGGTGAAGTGCTTTAATCCTGATGTTGTGGGTCGGTTGCTCGAGCAGCTTTTTCCTGTCTTTTCTTTTAATCTGTTTTCCGCCTGGAGCCGCTGTTCTTTTTGTAATAAAAAGTTTCACAGTGCAGCTTTTAATGTGTTTTATTCCATTAACTTTATTCTGTAGCTGGTAAAAGTGGCAGGTGTTAAGGACAAACAAAAAAAATAAATAAATGAGGAAACCATTTTTCTTCCACCCTGCCCTTTTCAAAGCTGCAGAATGAGCCGGAGGCCCAACACATTCTTTTCCCATTTTATCAGCGGCTGGCAGTGGTAGCCAGCAGGTGTCTCGATTGGTTTTCTATGAACCCAGACACACACACACACACACACACACACACACACACACACTCACACACACTAGTCTCCAGACCTGCTCTTTGAGCCGAGACCCTCCAGGACACCTCGCAGAATAACAATCTTTCCTATGACACCAAATATGTTGATATGCAATCATCAGCTGTGCACCTCACACTGAAGCGAGACTCGGATGGATTGACCTGTGAATTTTCTTTGCAAGCAGGCGAATGTGAGCCTGTGTTGTGTTTTTCTTAACAATCTTGCTGATACCACACATCCATAGGGTTGTTTTTTTCTTTAAGGGAGCTGGAGAGGATCAGAATTTTAAATGTGAGCTGATCCCACAGAGGAGAAATGTGCAGCCTGTGCTTTTTGGATTATCATGTCACAGACATCTTTACTGGAGCCTTTTCACAGTTTTGCTCATTTTCAAAAGTCAAAGTAGCGACGTGCATGCAATCCTCGGCTCATTGTGTCTGTTATTGGAAGGCAGAACGACACATGCACCGTTTGTTCACACACAAACCTGCTCACACACAATGCATGCTGGCAGCAGGAGGAAACCAGTTTGTTACACAAGCTGCTGTGAGCAGTGATGACAACCCGCTGGGATGTAGACAACACATCTGAGGAGTAATGATACTATGAATATTTATCATCTGAAAACACTGACACCTGCGCCCATAAATAATTCTGAAATGAAAGAAAAGTTATCAGTCCTGCTAAAAAAACTCTGTTCTTCCAGAAATGAGTTTTGTTCTTCTGCGATTATCGCCCGTAGACTTTGATACTCTGATCCCCGAAATAGAAACAAATCATTTTTGGTGTGAAAGCTTCATTTTCCGACTCTGAAATCTCATTAGCTCGTGCCAAACAAAGATCATAATCCAATCTAAACATGGCTTTACACAGCAAGGCGCAGCGGCTGGGAACATTAAGCATAGTGGATCGATATCCCTGTCATGCTTTATGCAACATGACTCATATTAAAGAAAGCCACTGATAATTGAATTATTTTCATTCTCTGCCGTGCACGTTCAGACGCCTTATGGTGAATTTATTCCCTTCCCAAACGCCCCATTTCACCATCAGCCTCCAGTTAATTTAATGGTCTCTGAACAGGTTGGAAGGAACCGTTCCCCCGTGAACGTGGATATCTGCGCGAGACGACACGAGAGAGGGAGAGTATTGATACTGCATAATTTATTTTGCGTACGATTCCTTTTTATTCCCCGGAAACCAGTGACATTTACAAAGTCTGTCACCGGTTTGACTGACGAGCAGAGTGAAGCTGCGGGGAACGGAGAGAGGAGCCACCTGAGACTTTCACACGATTGTTTCTGTTAAAATACACAGAAAAGAACGATACATTTTCATAAACTGATCGAACATTCATCAACAACTATTTTACTAAACCTGAATTACTCAGATTTAGTTTTATTTGTCAGACTCCTTTAACATGATGCAGCAGCAAAATGTTTGATTGATCCAGTTTTTAAAATGGGACGATTTGCGAAATAATTTAACCCCCTAGTGGCTGGTTGTGGTATTGGTCATAAATCCAGCCTCCTCCATGTTAGTGGATGGTATGTGGACCGAACGAAAATATACGTCGAATCTGTTTTTCTCAAAAATGGTTTTTAGTTCCTATCACACTCACGTATGTTGACATCGCGGCTCCACCCAGCCGACAGCTAGTGGGCAGACTCTGGCTCCACCTGAAGTTCACAAAATGGCAGCGTTCATATTCCGGATATTTTGGCTTCACTTCTGGGTCGTGGGAGGAAGTGGAGTCCTTCTTCATTTACTGTGGCGCCAACAAAATGTCCTGACGATCAAATGTGGTATTTTTTTGAGATAATGACGTGTGATGAAAACAAAACATGGAACAGAAGAATCTGGATAAGACTGACGGTGACTCTAACAATGTTAAAGATTCATTTGGAGCTTGTCTCTTCAGGCAGGTCGTGTTGAGCCTCGGGGTCCTGACAGCTGAGGTGCAATCGCTCCTGCTCTCTCCGGGACAGCCTGAGGGGCCCTGCCAGGTGATGTTCAGGCGATGTGTGGGATGAGAGAACTTTCAAACCTCTACAACATCGTAAAGACCCAGAACTTAAAGAGCTTTAAGACTCAAATTTGAGATCAGTCCTTCGTACGTGCAGCCTCAGTGTGTGGAGGATAGAAGAAGGCCGATGTGATCGGTGTCTCCGTCGTCTTGTTAAAAGAGACGCTCTGTCAGCTTCAGTCAGCCACAATCTGCTTTAGTCCTCAAAGTACATCAGAGGCAGACGGCTGTTTAGGAACACACGTCACATCAGACACCAGCACTCACTTCACACTCAGACGTCTTGTGCTCAGGTTTCAAGGCTTTTACCAACCGAAATATAAACGTGATGGAGCTTCTTCATCACTGGGAGCTGCCCAGTACAACAGAGGCCATTACTGCAGAGCTGGGAACACTTCTCTCATTCAACCGCTCTCACAAGCCACTTTAATCCAGACATTGAGCGCAGGAGTGTATTTTGTCATCGTTACATTTCTGGAATAGAACAAGATCCCAAAACACTGAATCCTGTGTTTCCCATAATGCAACGCTTTCATTATACCCTTCGTGGTTGCAAACTCATCTTTATAATTAAAATCTGAGAGCTTTGACTTTCAGGAAAAAAACATTACTTGCTTTTAAGACTTTCTTGAGCATTTTTTATTTGCTCGGTAAAATTGACTTTACTTAATTAGAAATAAGACTTAATGATACTGCGAGCATAAAAACCTTTAAGTACAGATGTGGAAACAAATCTCTGCTGACAGATTCCAGAAAAACAAACAAATCCATTGGTTGGATGACTGCACTTCAGAGGCTCTCAGCTTC